ATGTGAGGTTTTATATTAATATTTGAAAGTCAAAACTGACGTGGAAATGCATATTGAAAAAAATAAAATTTCTTTTTAAAAAAAACTATACATTTATTATTAATATAATTTTTAGACATGTTTGTTTTTAATTCTTTAACGGATTATAAATAGTTTAAATTGTCAGGCTATAATGTCTTTGTATTTTGGCACTTAAGTAACGTAACTCTCGGTTTAAATTTTCTGTATAAATCAATGAAATATTATTATTATCAACAGTATTCTAAGCAAATTGTCTATTTTTTTTTTTTTTTTTTTTTTTTTTACTTCGAGTGAATTTTTTTCTATGTTATAATAATTTAAATAATACGTCATCCGTCTAGCGGAATGCTTGCAGATTCATGTTAAATATGTGACAAATAGTACGGAAAATGTTGAACATTTTTGTTTACTTTAATTGTTTCCCAAACTAGTAATTTAGGTGAGTAATTTATAAAAATATTTTAATTTTTTTTAAATAAACGTTGGTCTTCTTACCGTGTCAACCGTAAAAATGTTAATTTTTAATTAAATGAAATTTTTTTATTAATATTATTGATGATTCAGAAAACTATTTATTACTAACTGTTTTTTATGAATAGTTTTTTTTTATTATATATAATTTGAATTAAATTTTAATTTTTTTAATATAATTTTATTCATCGAATTCATCACACAGGTATTTAATAAATTTGATTTCAATTTTTTTATTTATTTAGCAATTTAAAATGTCATCATCATCCTCATCATCTAAAGAAAGCCCCTCTCAAAGAGGGACTCCTACCAAATTAGCTGGTAATTTTGATCAAGAAAAAATTACTAGCAGCACATTAAAGGTGAGAATAAAATTCATATATATATATATATATGTATTATTTTAAATAAATGTTAAATTATTTTTTTTATGTGCTCACTGGCAGTTCAAATAATTTATTGATATAAATTTACTTTGATTGCAAAAAAAAAAAAAACGAGTTTTAATCGAAATACTTCGAAATGTATGCAAAGTTAATTAATCGCTTGTTACATACTGACAAAGAAAATTTTTTGAAAATTTATTTATTATTTAAAAATTAATTAATTTTACTCATTAATTTTGAAAATAAAAATATATTTAAAAAAAAAAAAAATAGTTTTTATCACTTATTGTAATCATTATTTTTTTGTTTTGTTCGATTAGGAAAAATTTTTTTAAAAAACTTTTCTTTCCGTTTGAAAACAATTTTATTATTGCTTGGCAAATGAATTATGACATCATATAATTTACATGTTAAATTGCTTTTCATGATGAAAACAAAATATTCTTAGATATTAAATAATTGCAAATTATTAACATCAACGTTATTATAAATAAAATCAAGAAAATTTTTTTTTTTTTTTTAAATTTTTATTTGATGTAGAATTATTTAAATAATTGTGTTTTTTTTTTTTTTTTTTAGAGAAATCCTAAAATGGAATTAAGTAAAACAGATTTGTTAAAATTATTAAGTTATCTTGAGGGCGAACTCCAAGCTCGAGATGTCGTTATAGCAACATTGAAGGCCGAAAAAGTTAAAAGGCTTTTAACACCAGGAAGAATTTGGTTAAATTCATTAAACGATCCTCGAGCGGCTTTACAGAGAGATGAATTTGCGAGTGCCGAACCTGGAATGGATGAAGAACAAATTCAATCTCTTGCTGAATTTCAAATGGTGGCTTTAGATAATTATGTAATGCAGCATAGGAAAATGACTGCTCACATGTTTAGATTGTTAAAAGATATGGAAGAACGGCATAGAAAGGCATTTAATATTTTATTATTATTTTTTTTTTTCTTTTCAATTTTTTTACATTCGAGAACGTTTATATTATTAATTGATTGATTTTTTTTTTTTTTTTATAGGTTGTACAAGATTTAGAAGAAGAAAAAAGAAAACACGAACATGATACTGCTCAAGGAGATGATATAACGTATGGTTTAGAAAAAGAGAGGACAAGACTTAAACAGGAGCTAGAGTTAGAAAAAACGGGTCGTAAAAAGGCGGAAAAAGACCTAAAAAGAATTTCAGATTTGTTGGAGGAAGAAAAAGCAAGAACTAAGTCCATTGTACTTTTATTAATAGCTGAAAGGAAAAAAGCTTTAATTAAATACGTAGAAGAAAGGAAGAGATCTGAAGACTTGGCTCAGGTAAAATAAAAAAAAAATTAATTTTATGTTCAATCTAAGGATTTATTACTTTATTTATTTGCTTATATTGAAATCCATATATAAATTTTAATTGCTTAAAAAAAAAAAAAAAAAACCTAACATGTACTCAATGGTATTTTAGATATTAGCAGAAGAAAAAAGTCGAATCGATGCAATGGCTGAAGGTTTAGAAGAAGAAAGTAAAAAAAGTCTTCAAATGGAGGCTGAATTAGAAAAACAATTGGCTCAGTTTGATACTGAGCGTCAACAGCTTCGAGCTGCTATAGCCAAAGAAGAAAAAAGGTAAAAAAAAAAAAAGAAAAATTTTTTCTTTGAATTTTATTAAAAATTTAATTGAATTTCCTTTAAAAAAATCATAATTTTAAATAATTACTTGGTAGGTATAAAGACTTAGAAGCAGAAGCAGAGAGGCATAAAGGTGAAGCAGATAATTTTAAAAAGCAATTAGTCGAGGCTCATCATGTGGCAATGTTCCAGGCTGGAACTGGAACTTCCGGTTTATGCCCGAGGCCTCCTCAACCTCCTGCGAAACCAACAATCAATGCGCCTCAACCAGTTTCATCACCGAGACCTACTGCTCCTACAAGTATTTATTATTTTTGATTTTAATACTCTTGTCGTGTAATAAATATTAATTTATTATTATTATTATTATTATTTGTTTTTGAAGGCGGATTAACTCATATATCTCCTAAAGTTCCGTGGACGGGTTCAGTAGCCGTTACAGAAGGCAGCGCTTCTCCTCCTCCTAATGCAATGCTCAGCAGTGTAGCCAAAGTCGTTCAACCAACTGCTACAGTTTCCAGTGTTCCAGTGTGTGGTCCCAGTAAGTTTATTTTTATGTCTACTAGTTATTATTTATGATTACTACTCAATTATCGTGTTTATTATTTATTAACATTAGTAAAAAAAAAAAAAATCAAAATGGAAAAATTATTTTTTTTAATTTTAGCCACTGGCATTGCCAGATCAGTTTCACCGGGTCAGGGACTTCGAAATCTTGTATATACTCCGAGTGGATTTTCCCCCGCGGGTACAACCACAGCTGCCAGAGATCCCTCTTGGTCTTCTCAGGGTCTTCCAGAGTCTTCTTCTTCTCCTCAAGTACTAAAAAAAACACATATTATTTTATTTTATTTAAAAAAAAAAAAAATATAAAAATAAACTTTCTTTTTTCAATTTAATTATTCTTTAGGTTGCTGCAACCGGAAAAGCAACTGGTGTGACTCCACAGGTTGGCGCAGCCCGTGTTAACATGCAACCGAATGCTGGAGGGAAAGTTTACGGAAACGTTGAAACCTGCAAAATAAGTTTTTACGCGGGATCTAATTCGTCGCCTACTCAACCCCCTCTTAAAAAACCAGCGACCACCGGAAGAGGGTTTCCACCACCCATTCCTCCCAACAAACCCGTCGTGCCGCCAAAAAAAGACGTTATCCGAAGAGTTGAAAATGAAAAGGGTGGTTCCGATCAAATGGGAATAAAATATAACGTTAATTTGCGCGATAAAGTTCACTGTCCTGAAGTTCACGAGGAAGAATCATCGCGACGAGAACCGCAGGTAAAAATTTTTCATCCGTCTTCGATCTCCCACATTTTTTTTTTTTTTTTTTAAATTCACGATCACCAACGTAATGCAATGTTTAAGCAATAAATGTGTTTTTATTTCCAGGAAACATGCTCTTAGAGAAAAAAAACCGGCTGAAATGTAATATCTATCGCCAAGACAGTAAATGAATAAAATTAAATAGTTTAAGAAATTTTAATGTTAAGAAAAAAGTCAGTAGCTTTTTCGTGTAAGGTAAGGTAGAAAATTATTTATTTTTAATTTTTATCTTAATCCGACGTGAAATCTTTTCTACATTGTTTTGATGTCGTCGTACCGTCGACGTATTACTCAGCTTCATCGGAAGAGAGGAGAAAAAAAATTATAATTTGTTTCAAGTAATAACGCCCTACACATAACAACAGTTAAACGGAAATAGGTTATTTAAACCAATGACTCATTTCATAGAGAACATAACTAAATAATTTTCTGGTTTTTTTAAACTCATAGTCGCAGTAAATCATGTTGTCTTGAATCATTTCGTAGATATAAATATTTGAACAATTAACTAAATCGCTGCCATTATTATTATTATTATCATTATCATTTTCGTTATATTTGTATTATAGCATTAAGCTGTATGTAGTTGTGTCGTTAGGGTTAAACAATCGAAGAATACATATACGTGTGTGTGAGTGCGCGAGTGCCTGCGTTCGTCACGTGCAGATATGTGTATATATAGTAAAAAATGAACCTGAAAATGATTAGAAATTTTAATTGAACAAAAATAATATTTACACGAAACTTGATCCCTAACTTTTTTTTTTTTTTTTTTTTTTTGTGAAAAGAGAAAAAGTCATTGGACGAAGTTTTTAAATGATTCCTTCATTATTATTATTATTACTACTACTATTACAACTATTGATTTTCAATTTATTTTATCGTGTCATTTGTAAAATTTATTTATTTTCACACACACACAAACACAAACACACACACACACATAAAAAGTTGAAAAGGTAGCGTAGGTTTCATTACAAATTTTCACGCTTGTTATTATTATTATCATTATTATTATTATTATTAATGCTTTTTATTACGATACAATAACAAATAGATTTTTTTTTTTTTTTTTTTTTTTACGTTCCGAAAGAAAGAGTGTTGAAAGGTCGATTTGATTTTTGATAAAATCGAGGAAAACGCGATTTTTTAATTTTATTAATTTTCTTTATGTAATTAATTACCTAATCACGCCGCGGAAAAGTAAACGTCGTTTCCGGTTTTTCAAATAAGACAAATGTAACTGTTTCCGGTTTTTAAAAACGATGCATTTTTTATTTATTTATTTATTTTATTATTTTTTTTTTTTTTTTGATATTAAACGGTCGAGGGGGAGAAGAGGGGATGCGGAAAAAAAAGAAATTTTTTTTTAGATTTTTTTTTTTGGTAGGAAAATGTTCGATCGATCGAATTCGATATCTCGATTAGTTTTTTTTTTTTTGCTTGTGTGCGTTTGTGCGTGCGTGCGTGCGTGCGTGCGTCACGCAAGACTTTGAGATTTTTTTTATTTTTATTTTATATTTTACAGGCAGCTTTTCTTCTTTTAATTTAATTTTAATAATTTTATTTATATGTATACATATACATTTATTTATTTTTATTTGTAACATAACTATTTTTTTATTATACCCCGAGATTTAAAAAAAAATTATTTTCTTGTCTTATTACTTTTATGCCCAGTGGTTTTTTTAAAATAACTTTTATTATTATTATTATTATTATTATTATTAAATTAGTTGATAGGTTTTTTATTGATCTAATTTAATTTTTTTTTCGTTTGTTTGTTTGTTTGTTCGTTGGATATTATGAATGATTCGCGTGTCGCGATGTGTGTTGGTTTGGTTGGTTGTGTGGCGTCCGAAATTGCGTAACAAAAAAATTTTTTTTATTTTATTTTTTATTTTAACTTTTTCCTTTTTATTTCGTGCCCCCGTCCTGTCCCGCCCCCATTCCCACCCCCCACACACCAGGAAGGAAGGTACGAATTTATTTTTTTTGTTTCGTTACGTACGGAAGAGGAATTTGTATTGTTTTTATGCTCATTATAAAATAAACAGGAGAAAATTACGACGAGGATTTTCGAGTTGTTTCGATATATCGTTTTTTTTTTTTAACGATTCGATTCGATTTTTTTTTTTGATTTCGTGCGAAAATAATTATTTGGTTTAGTTTTTTTTTTTTTTTTTTTTGGTTTTTATTGCTTTTCTACGGGAATTTTTACTACGATTGTCGTAGGGTAACGTTTCCGTTATTTTACACTTAAGACGTGGTACATACGTACGTGGCAAACGACAGAACAGACACGGGAACGTGCCACGTTTTTTTTTTTTTTCTTTTTGTCTCGTCGTCTATCTCTTCTTTTATCTATCATTCATCTCGAATTTTTTTTTGTTTTCTCTAACCAAATATAAAAATTAATAATATTATACGGATATAAATATGTAAAGTTTTTTTTTTAAAAAAAAATAAAATACTCAAGAACTTGATGAGTAAATAAACAATCCCGTTGATTTAAAAATATTATTATTATTATTTCAAGTTCGATAGGATCGTTTGTAATATATACATATACATAAATATATATATATTTAAATGTGTTTATTAGTTTGTAGTTTATTATAAAAATTAATAAAAAAATAAAATAAAATAATGATGATGATAATAATAATCAAATTATATTCTTATATTCGGAGTAGTGCGATATCAAATTCGATTATTTCTTTTTTTTTTTTTTTAACTTTTTTGGGGGAGGTAAACCTGAAACCTTAAAAGGGAGAGGGTTGCTTGCGTTTTTTGGCAAATAAAAAAATAGAAAACTCGTTTTTTTTTTTTTTTTTTTTTTTTTTTTAGAAAAAAAAAAATAGGTCGAAAATTTCGAATTGGTATGAAAGGAGGAAGGGAAGGGGTGGGTGTGGGTGTGGGGGAGGGGAGGAAAAATAAAAATTTTTTCAAAGTTGGGAAAATTTATGAGAAAAAGTATTTACGGTAGCGTGGAGAAAAAAAACGTCAGTCAAAAAATTTGAAGATTTCGAAAGATGAAAAACGGGGGGAGGGGTAGGGGTAGGGGAAAACTCTTTCCCTCACAAATTCCAGGATAAAATATTTGAGATTTAGTTAGTTTGTAAAATATTTTCTTAAACTATTCGGAAAAAGTTCGGCTTTGGAAATTCACTTTCACGCGCATTAATTTAACTGTTTTTTTTTTTTTTTTTTTTTTTATCAATCCGTGAGGAATTAAAAAGAAAATTTTTTTGCCCTTTTATTATTATTATTATTATTATTATTATTATTATTATTATTATTATCCTTTTTAACAAATCTCAATAAAATTCTTTTTGTTATTAACAATTTAATGATTAAATTTTATCTTACCCGTAAATTTAAATAATAATAATAATTTCTTAGTTGAATAAAATTTCCGAAAATAATTAATTTTTTTTTTTTAATATAACTTAACAGAGGGAGAGAGAGAGAGAAAGAGAGAGTCTGCTTATAATCTTGCCTTTTTTTCTATTTTTTACTCTTTCTCTCTCTCTCTCTCTCTGTCTCTTTTTCTATGTATTTATAAACACATACTTATATATATATATATATATAAACAATAAAAGGATAATATTATTATTTTTTTTTTTTATTTTGTTTGTAAACCAAAAAATTTAAATTAAAATAATAATAATAATAATAATAATAATAATAAATTTATAGTCTTTGTACAAATAATAATAATGATGTTTTGAATAATCGAGATTATTATAATAATAAAATGATGATATTGATATGAATTTAGAATGATTATTAAAAAAAATTTTTTTTTTTTTTTCATGATTTTATTTTAAGAATGATTGGATCGATTGATTGATTGATTGATTGATTGAATGTTTCGTAGGAAAATAAATAAATGAATAAATTGTAAAATGAGTTTTAATTAATATAATGTAAATAAATATATATTTAAAAAAAAAATAATAATAATTTTTTTCTTTTTTTTTTTTAAATTTATTGTTTTCCTATAAAAAAAAAAAAAAAAAAAAAAAAATTTCGATCTTAAAGAAAATTTCTATATCTTTCTCTTTGTCTATCTTTCTCTCTCTCTCTCTCTTTCTTATTAATAACAAAGGGAGATGGTTTTTTTTTTTTTAAAAAATCATTCGGTCACGTTTTAAATTATTTTATTTTTTACGACTATTAAAACGTTTTTAAAATTTTAATTTTAAGGCAAAATTTTGGGGGGGGAAAGAGCGCGAAATGATTCGATTTAAAAAAAAAAAAGTTCTCGATCGTTCATTCGTTTTTTTTTTGGGGGAGGAGGGAAGCGGGGAATTTTAAAATCGCGGGAATCTTTAAATCAACTTTTGTTATCACACAAATATCATACGTAAAAACAATTTTTTTGGTAATAATAAAAATAATAATATTAGAAATATGAGTAGTAAAAAAAAAGTAAAAATTTTTTTTTGTTTAAAAAAATTGTGATCCCTGCACGACTTATTTTATTTATTTATTTATTTAATTATAAACAATTAACGACCTTGTTCTATTAATTTATAAATTTTTGATTTATCCAACGAAGACCCTGCCAATAGATAATGTGAGGACCCGAACCAAAACGAATGTAAAACTCTTACGTTATTTTGCTCTTGATAAATTTCTTCTACGAAACCCTAAAAAAAAAAAAAAAACAAAATAAAAATTCGTTTGTTTTCTTAATTTTGTTAAACACAAACAAAACAAACAAAACAAAAACAAAAAAATTACTTCGATGTGTTTGTATTTTAAAAATCTAAAACTATCATCTGAAAGTACGATGGCGATGAAAAGATCTCCCGAATAATTTGTGCCTGGAAAAATTAAAATTAAAATAATTTTTTTTTCATCTCGCTTAAGAACGTTTCAAAAAATTAAAAAAAAATAAGCTACTCACTTCCGGTTGAAATAACGGAAATCGATAAGAAATTCGATCTGACAATCGATTGCGTTGTATCGAGTTTTTGACTAAAATAATAATTATCGTAATCTTGATTGTATTTCAATATCAAAAGCGGCCATGATTGTTTTTGTACGAAAAATATAAAACTCGTTTTTTTATATCTCATGCTATTGATTGATAAAATTCCATGGGTTTTTATATAACGTAAAAGTTCGAACTGGAAAAACAAAACAAAAACGTTTGAAATTTTATTTAAATGTACAAAAAAAAAAAAAAACTGGAAAAAACTCCAAAAAAGAAAATTTCTTTTTTTTTTTTTACAAAATACATATAAATTTTTCTCTTTTACTTTATTTTTCGATTCGTTGAACCTATAAATTCCAGAATTAACAGAATCAGTAAATCTGTCGGAATCGAACGAATTTCCGACAACGAGAATAATTCCTTTCATTGTCCAAAAAACTTCCAAAACTTGAACTCCAGTCGATGGTATCTCATCAATTTTTAACAATTTTTTTTCACTGACTTGTAGCTCGTAAACAACCGTGTGAAGATTGTTTGTTTCTATTCGGAACAAAAAAAAAAAAAAAGTTAAAAAAAGGAAGTAAAAAAAAAACAATTTTTTTTCCAGCTCCAGAGCTGGAGTTTTTTCAAACGACAAAAACGACAACGACTACGAAAATTTTCATATATATTTTATACGTTAAATAATAAATTATTTCAACCATCAATTTTTACGTTACGTCATCAACTTTCAACACACACACACCAACAAACAAACAAACAAACAAAAAAAAAACTTTACAGCCAACAACAACAACGCGACACACACAAAAGATTTTCTTCTCTTTTCTTTTCTTTCTTTTCTTTTCTTTTCTTTTTCTTTTTTCCCTTTCGAAATTACCTTTGAAAGTGAAAATTTTCTTTAAAAAAAATTTTTTTTCTTTACAAAAAAAAAAAAAGAAAAACGTTTAATGGAAAATCCAAAAGTATTTGACGCTTTCATTTTTAAATTAAAAAAAAAAAGAAGAAAAGGAAAAAATTGGGGAGGGAGGGGGGGAAAAGAGAGAAATGGTGAAAGCTCCGTTAAAGAACGGAAAATAAAGAAAAGAAAAAAAAAGTTATAAAAGCAAAACCAATTTTTAAACAAAAAAAAAAACCATTTGATTTAAAAAAGAAAATATATCGAAAATCGATCCATCGATCGATCGATCGATACAAAATCGATTAAAAAATAAATAATAAAAAAATTTTTTCTATTAAATTGATCGATAAATAAAAAAAAATAATTATTTATAAAATTTCGATTGAAATCTCTCACTCTCACTCTCTCGCTCTTTTATTAAGCTAACTTGGATTTTTTCCAGGGATCGGAAATGATAATAATAATAATAATAATAGGATACTTGCGATTTTTAAACGGGTGAAAATAAAATGCCATAACGACGTAAATGGAATCTCCGAGTTTGAAAAATTTAACGTCGCTTAAAAACCCAGTTTCGACGTTGACTTCGTAAAATGTTTCATCGCTTAATAAATTTCTCCAGGAAATTGATGTTTGTTCTTTGTCCAGTTCGTCGTCGGTTGTTCTACACCTGAAAAAACATTTCGCTCGTGTTTTTTTTTTTTTTTTTTTTTTTTTTAAAAAGGTCGTGAAGTGATTTCATTACCTGGAACTGTAAGAAACCGTTGTCGTCGTCACAACGACTTCCATATTGAATTCTTTATCGTAATATTTGAAAAATCTCGTGGAATTAGCTTCTATTTTAAAAGATGGCGGATTCATGGATTCAATTATGAGATTCGTTTGAGAAGGACAAGAACATTCGATGGGAAGACCGCATTTCACGTGTTTCATACCGTATATGTTAAATTCTATGTAATTTTCGTATTCGTTTAAATTCGAACCGTGCATCGAGGGTAAATGAAGATTCAAATGATTTTCCTCTTCTTCCAGGTACATGAATATGACGGGTTTGTTCATTGTCGTAGTTATATTTTTCAAATAATTCACTTCCGCTAAAAGCGATTTCCTGTATTCTTGATTTTCTACTAAATCACTCCTCGATTCGACGACAAATTTATTTTCGTTTAATATTTCGTTTACGTCGCAATCGTTAACCGTCGAATTGACTTCTATGTTTCCTCCGATTGTTATGTCGGTTAAAAATTCCTGTCGGATCGTAACGAATTAAAAAATTTATCTACCGAAAAATTTTCCCGACAAAAAAAAGGAAAAAATTACTCACGATGTTTCCCTCGATAACGACATCTTGGTCTACCAAAATAGATTTCTCATAAAGTTCCGTTACGTTATTACCGTTTAAAAAATTAACTTCCGCTTTTCCGTCTATAAAAATCGGACCATCGAATTCTACGTGTCCTTCAATAACCGTCGGATTTTCCGATTGTTCCAGTTTCGAAATCGTTTCATTAACGTTTATATCGTTTATCCTGTCCACGATCGCATTTCCTTTCGAAACAACAAAAAATTATTTTTAATTTTAACGTTAAAAATTTATGAATTATTTACCTTTTACTATGACGTTTCCTTTGATTGTTACACTTCCGGTTACGTGAATTTCACTTTCTGACGATGTTTCATCACCGCCACCTTCCGCTTTGGGTAATCTTTCGTCGATTATTTTATTTAACGGATAACCGTTGACCCGAGACACGGTTAAATTATTAAATATGTTTAGATTTTTAAATGTTGATGGCGGTAAAAAAAGTTCTTTGTTGTCTTTGACGTCGTCGTAAAAAACAATTTGATTTACTTTTCCGCCATTGATGGTGTCTGTTAAACAACATGAAAATTAATAATTAATTTTATGATGCGGGAAGGAGAGACAGGGATAGGAAAAAAGGACAGGAGGAACAGACAAAAAAAAAGATGGCTGACTTTTGTGACGTTACTTTTTTTTTTGTTAGTATAAAAAAAAAAATTCTCACCCGAATAAAGATGATTCGTCGAAAAACCATTTTGAAATATTTTAAGTCCTTTGACAAAAGTATCGGAACTTTTTCTTATTAACCTTTGACCTATATCTGTCACATCAACTCCGTTAATGGTATCGATGAGGACGTTGTCCATTATTTCGATATTTTCGGCCTTGACGCGTCCTTTGAACGTTACCGGAACCGTTATTTCCTTTAATTTTTTATAAAAACTTCCGTTTTATTTTTAAAAAAAAAATTTGATTTTTTTAAAAACAAATGACGTCATCATCACCTGTTCATTTCCGGTTTTTAATATGGCATCATTCGCAATGAAACTCAAATCCATTTCATCGTTTACATTCCATTTTCCGTTAACGTTATTTATGACGACATCTTTTTCGAAAGTAACAGGACCGGAAATGATTTGATCATCAATCGTCGTGACGACATTTTCTATAAAATAATTTAAACTTCCTTTTCTATCGTTTTGATTTAAAAACGATTCCCACGTCACGTTTCCTCTCACTTCTAAATTATCAAAATCTTCGATCCTGTTCAAATCCACGTCGGTTACCTACGTACACGTTTGTTTGAAATGAGAAAAAAAATTTCAAGAGAGAGACAGACAGAGAGAGAGGGGGGGGGGGAAAGACCCGAGTTTTTATTTATTTACTCGTAAAAAAAAGAAAAAGAAAAAAGAAAACCATCGAACTTTGCTCACCTTGTTCAAATTGCAACCGTTCATAAAATTAAAAGCGTTTATATCACCAACGACAGCAATGTTATTAAAAATAATGTTTGAATTGATAACTTGTTCGTCGATATCATCTTGAAATAATATTTCCTCTGATGGGATTCCATCTATTAAATCTGCTTCCACGTAATTTCCTTGTAATTCGTCAACCGTTAACGTTCCGCTTATATTCTGCCATTTTGTTTTAGATAAATATATTTTATCGAAATTCGTTAGGTTGTAATCGTTAAGGGTTCCTCTTAAATCTCCCGTCACCGTAACTTTTTCCGTAAATATTTTTTCACCTTTAACCTCTTGCATTGGAACATTTTTTACTATGAAAACCTGTTTATTAAAAAATTATTATTATTATTATTATTAAGATAAAGTCTTTTTATATGTTGGAGGCCTTTGCTCAACATAAAAAAGAATATATATTTTTTTCTTTCTTTATTTGATTTATTTCTTTCAATTTTTTTTTTTTTAAACACACCGCGTCCATTTTGTTTTTTTTTCTCTCTCACTCTCTCTTTTTCTCTCTCTCTTTCTCTCTTTCTTTCTCTCTCTCTTTCTCTCACCCGGTAATTTGTTAGACTTTGTTGTGATTTTACACCGACTTAAGAAAAATTACCTAAAAAAAAAACTTTTCGCTTTTTTTTTTTTTTTTTGTTGACCACGGTTTTAATGTGTTTTGTGTTTTGACCTTTCCGTATCCTGTTGTTGTTGTTTTCAACAAACGTTCACGGTATTTTAGTTTAAAAAACGACGGCAAAAAATATTTAAAAAAAAAAAAAAACTTACGTCGTTTAAAAATTTATCGAAATCTATTTCGTTAACCGTTTTCGCATTTAATGACGTCACGTTTAAATTTCCTTCTACGATTACTGTTACATCAACGCTTTCTTCATCATCATCATTATCATCGTTATATTTTAATAATCCGCGTAACAACTCATCCTCGGCTGGAAAACCATTTATTGTGTCGACTTGTAAATTTTTAACTATTAAAAAAAATAATAATAATTATGAGAATTTTCAAAAAAAAAAAATGGCGGGAAAAAATAAACATCGACAATTTTTTTCATTTTTCGCATACATTTTTGGGGGTGAAATGCGTCGGCGGCGGTAATAAAATTTTAAAAAAATTTTTTTTTTTTTTTTTTTTTTTTGCGTATCAAAAGTTTTGATAATTTACCTTTGAGCGATTCGTAGCGGGCTTTGCTCAAAACTTCTGGATCGTTCCACGTCAAAATATTTGAAACGGTTTCATTAAAATCAACTCCGTTTATAATTTTAACTTTTACGCCATTTTCCAAAGTTAAATTTCCATCTATAATAACTTCCTCGACGTTTATTTCGTCTAAAAAATAAATAAAAATAAAAAAAATTTTTATTACCTTATTAAATTATATTAACAATTTAAAAACCATTAAACCCCCCCTTCCTCTCTTTCTCTTTCTCACTCTCTCTCTTTTACGACGTACGCATTTCCGTTTTAGGTAGAAAGAAAAGAAAAACGAATAATTTAAATGCATTTTACTTTTGTGTGTGTTTGTAAATTTCCGTTTTTTCATCCAGGAAAAAAAAAAAAAAGTGGAAAACAAAGAGAAGAAAAATCGGATAAAACAGTTTAGCCAACATTTCCCCCCCCCCCGATTCCATATGAAACCATTATAAACCCTCCTAATCCTCTTTTGTTATATTGAAAAACTTATACAGAGTAATAAAAAAGAACGGATCGATGTGTTTTGTCCGGACGCCGTACAATAAAAAACTTTTTTTTTTTTTTACGTCTCGCTTTTAAATTGATATAAAATTGTAAATGATAAATATATATACGTATCGGCGAGAGTGATAAAAATGATAAAAAAAAACTGGAAAAAAAGGAGCCGGGGGGGGGGGCGGGGAGCGGGAAGGAAAGAGATAGAGAAAAAAAATCGGTGCGTTGCATAATCGCATTTTGCGTTAGGTGAATGTAAGAGAGATTAAGAAAAAAAAAACTGTTGCCAACTTGATAAAAACCAAAAAAAAAAAAAACAAAACTCCTTTCTTGTATACGGTTAGAGACAAAATTAAATAACCGAAGAAAAGTATATAAAAATAAATAAATAAATAAAAAAAAAGTTTTCCTTCCCCATATAAAGAAATCGAAATCGCATTAGCTTCAAAATGTCAGCTTTTCCCTCCTTTCCGCCTATCCATTTATTTCCGGTTTCCTTTTTTTTCCTTAACTTTATTTTTCTCTTTCCTTTTTACTTTTTTTTTTTTCTTTTTGAAAAAAAAAAAAAAAAAGAAAAAGCTTCGGAAAAAAAGTATATGCGTTTAAACATTGATTTTTTTTCTATATATTAAAGTTACACAAGTAAATAAAAGACGAATTTTTTTTTATAAATCTTAAAAGAAAAGATTATCTTTTTTTTTTTGATGAATTAAAAGAGTTAAAAGGTCAAAGTTCGAAATGGATTTTTAATTTTTTTTAATAAAAAAAAATTTAAACTTATTCCTACCTAAATCTTTAAACGTTTCCATATTGTATCGTTTAACGTATTCGTTCGCATCGATTCCGTTTATTTTTTTTTTAACTTGTAAATTTTTAACTTCGACACTTCCGGTGAAATTTTTCAAACCGGATATAATATTTTCCGAGAAAATTTTACCGGATGTTTCGTATAATTCTCGAAGATTAACATTTTGTTTTGCTTTTTTCGATATTATTACGTCACCGATAATTTCCGCTTGTTTAAATATTATTTTCGATGTGATTTCGTTTGGTCGATCTATCCGAACGTAAGAATCCAACGGATTTCCGTTTATTCTGCCCACGTTCAAATCATCTATGACGGTTATTTCATTTGTAAATTCCACGGGTACTTCAATGGTCTGAAAAAGAAAAACGGGGGGAAAAATAAAATCCGTTAAAAACAACAACAAACGAATAAAATAAAAAAGAAAAACTTTTTTTGTACGAATAATTATAAATATTAACCGGATGTGACGTGTTTGTTGAATTTTAAAAACAAATTAATTATTGATAACAAACACGTTGTCATTTACATTATTTAACGACAAAAAAGTTTTTTTTATTACGCGAAACGCGAAATTTTTAATTATTTATAAAGTCATAGAGTAATATTCGGTGGGAAGGAGCACTCCCCCATCCCACTCCACCCCCCCCCCGGGTCATGTAAGTTTATTTTTTTTTTCTGACCTGATTAAAACTTTTCATCCAATATTTATTTGTTAAATTATTATATAAATAAATGTCTTGGCCGGAAAGTTGAAATGGATTTTTGACAAAAATTTCACCGACGTTAAAATCTCCATTTATTTTATACGTTTCCGGAAAATATTCTACGTCATTTTCGAATTTCGATTCTAAACCATTTAATATTTCTTTTAATTTTGAATCATCCCAATCTGGAGTCAAATCCGATGACAAATGTTTCGGAGCTTTTATTTCTCCGACACGTTGACAAGTGAATTTCGGTTCTATTATTTCATTATCTCCTTCCACGTCGACCCCGTCGTCACCGCTACCGCCTCCGTCGCCCACGACGACGGAAATGCCGTTTATTTTATTTACTTTTAAATTATCCGTTTCGGCTTTTCCGTTTATCGTTAAATTACCTTATTCGACAAACAAACAAACAAACAAATAAATAAATAAATATAATAATTCATCGATATTTATCAATTTAGATTTTCTTTTTTTTTTACCGTTTATGACGTCATTTCCGTTTGAAACATACGCAGACGATACGAATTCATTCCAGGGGATTCCATTTACGTAAGAAACTAATAATTTATCGACGTTTAAATTTGTAAAATTTAATGGTTCGTTATTTGTCATGTCGTTGAATGATGGCATGATGGCCGACAACCATTCGCTTGTAGGTACCTGAAATGAAAATATAATAATTTTTTTTCCTCTAATTATTATCGATAAAAAAAATTTTTTATTTCACTCACGTCGTTTATTTTATCGACTTGAAGTTCTTGTACGTAAAGTTTCGAAAAGGTTTTCTTTCCTTTGATTGGTTTTTCCACCTTTGAATCCATAACAATATCCGAGCCAGGTATGTCGTTCAACCTTCCGGAAGGACCGAAATGTACGTCGTTCGCTTTGAGCGACTGCAACGTAAATTCTCCAGATATTTTTTGTAATTTTTTATTTTTCAATATGAAATCTAACGGTAAAAAAATAATGATGATAATAATGATGATAATAAAAGTAAAAGTCGTAAATTTTTATTATTTCATTTTTTTTTTCATTTTTTATTACCTTCGACTGGAATTTCATTCAATTTTGGACTTTGAACGTTATCAACATTTAAATTATCAACGTAAACATTTCCCTCGAGAATTTGATCTTTATTCAACGATAAAACTTTATCGAAATCGATAGGTCGATCGTTTAATATCTCGACATCTATCGAATCGACGTGCATTTGACTAATTTTTAAATCTCCGTAAACGTGATAATTTTTCCCTGAGATTTTACCCTCGGATTTTAAATATTTTTTTTTATTTTTCAAATCCATAATTTTCCCCTCCATTTTATCAATTTTCCCTTTTAAATTTAACAACATTTCATCCACGTCGGATGATTCCACGACTAAATTATCCGGTATCATATCATTACGTAGAATATTTTTCATAAATTTATTTTCTTCCACGTTCCCGTCGTACCCATCGATGATTTCTTTTAAATTCATTTCTCTTTTTTCCATTTCTTTTTCCACGTCTATCAAACATTCCTGAAGTTTATCCGTTCTCTTTTTCTTTTCCTCTTTGAAACAGAAAAAAAAAAAAACGATTTGTTTAACGTGTTACTCACCGCATCTTGTTTTTCCCCTTTTTTCGAAAAGGGGGGGGCAAAGTGTATGGGAAAGAAAGGGTTGTTTTTAGGGGAAGGGGAAATTTTATTTACCGTTTAATGTGTAAACGACTTTGAGTGAAATAATGTTGACTTTAAAAAACGAATCCATGTGAGAACCGGTTAAAACCACCAAAACCGGCATTTTACCATTTTCTTTTTTCAAATCGATACCGATAACATCTTGATCGAATGTTATTATTTGCATTATTTCGAAATCCGTGACGGTCGGATAAAAAACGTAAATTTTTTTCTAGAAAAAAAAAAAGAAAGAAAGAAAAATGGGGGTTTCGCAAGTCGATAAAGTTTTTTCCCCTGTTTTGTTTTTTTTTGGGGAGGGGGACGGCCGTGGTACCTTATCGGATATGAAAAAAAAATTATTAGATGATATTTGACCGAGGTAAAGAATTCTTTGACCGTATAATTTTTCCAAGGTTTTCCACAAAACAAATTCTTTTCCGGTCCACCAATATATCGAACTCGAATTGACGTTGTTTAAAAAAAAGATAAAATGAAGTACATCCGTTTCGTGTTTTAAATCGAAAGGTATGACTCTCAATGCTTCGTACGTTGGTAAAAGTTGATAAAGTTCGATTTGATTTTTTTCTTCTAGAAATATTTTCGAATAAACCTAAAAATTAGATGAATTAATATTTAAAAATCGATATTTTCAAAATGAAAGTCGAAAGGGGGTTAAAGAAATTAAAGTCACGTTATTTTTTCCTAAATTTTGTGCCACGACGAAAATTTTTTTATTTCCATCTTGTATAACGGCAACACTTTGAGCTCCAGTCGTTTCCAAAATGTATTCCTCGTTAAAATACGTGTCTGACCACCTGGAAAAAAAAAAAAAAATTTTTTTTAAAGTTTAAAATCTTTAAAATTGTATCCCCAGTAAAAAAAAAAAAAAGAAAACTTAAAAAACTTTTCTTTTTGCAAATTGCAGGAGCGCCCCTCATTTTCGAAAAAAAAGGGGAAAACCCGGTAAAAGTTTTGTGCGTAAGTTCAAAGCTTTTAAAAAAAAATTCTATTTACCCGACATAAATCATGATCCGGCCTCTTTTTTTAATAATAAGAAAAAAAGGAAAAAAAAGTTTTGAATAGGACGAAAAGGAAGGAAGAAAAAGGAAAAAAAAAACTTTTGATAGTTTTTACCTTTTCTTAGAAACCTTTAAGAAAACGAAAGAATTTTTTTTTCTTCCTTTGAACCGACTGCACAAAAAAATGAATGAATGAATGAATGAATGAATGAAACATTTTCCGCATGCCTCTTAAGAAGGGAAGAAGAGGGTGAAAGTTATTAAATAAAAAAAAAGTCAAAACGTCACAAGAAAATCGTATTAAAAAAAAAAAAAGGAAGAAACTCGAAAGGTTTCAAACCCACTAATTGTTATACAAAAAAAAAAAAAGGAAGGGAAAAGGAAAAAAAGGAAAAAATTATTTTTGGCACGCGTGTTTTCCTTTGTTGTTGGGTCATTCGTGTTTTTTATCCGTTTAAAATCTTAACGAAACCATAATTTTATGCTACTACCCACGAACCCTTTTAACCCGGTCGTTCTTATATTCTCCTTTCTTCCCCTCCCCTTCTCCCTTCCTCCTCAAAATATAAAACTTTTCTTTTCTCTTCCTTCCTATTTTCCTTAACCCTTTTTTCCTTTTTCTTCTTCTTCTTCTTCTTCCTCCTTTTGCCTTTTTAACGTGTGTTTTTTTTTGTTTTTTAATTGGTTCTTAAAATAATTTCTTCATATTAAATCCCCCCTGATCCCCCCCTTTTTCTTTCTCGCTCTCTCTCTCTCTTTCTCGTTTCTTCCCATTAAAATGCTTTTTTATAACGAACGTTTTTTTTCCCTTTTTTTTCGATTACAAAGATTTCCGGAAAGGAATATTATTATTATTTCTTTGGAAAAATTTTAACAATGACGTCACAATCACATAACTTTTATTTATGTTATTCGTGTGTGTGTGGGGGGGGGCGCATTTGTTTAATAAAAATATGAAAATGTTTTTTTTTGTTTTCTTTTGTATTAAAAAAGTGGGAGACGGAAAAAAAATAAAAAGGGGGGAGACGGAGAATAAAAAGAAAAAAAAATTTTATTCGGCACGCGCAACGAACGCTTCCCCCCCTTCCCTCCGAAAATGAATAAATAAAAAAAAACGCGAGTTAAAAAATTTCTTTTTTTGTTTTGTTTTGAGTCGGTTTGAGGCGCGACGTTGTGGCCGGTACCTGATTTCGGCACAAAACCTTTTATTATTATTATTATTTTAAAAGAAATTCAGTAGGGGGAACCAATAAATTTTGTCCAATAGAAATTTATTTTTCTTTTAAAAAAAAAAAAACGAACGAACGAACTTTACTTTTTAACAACATTCCATCAAATCAATTTAAGAGAAGGTTTCCATGCCAACCCATCATTTTCAAAATTTTTTTTTTTTTTTTTATTCTCTTCTTCATTCAAAAGGTAACTAAATCGATTTTTAAAAATATACACATGCACAAAGAAACAAACAGACAAAAGTAAACAAACAACGCACATGCACTTTATATATAAAGAAAAAAAAAATTTACGTACCTGTACACGGTGACTGGATCGAGTACGGTTATCAGGTACAAATCATCATCCGTTGCAAATAATGTAACGTCCAATGGTAAAATTCCAGTGTTTATTTTTATTTTAATCGTTTCCGACGTGGAAGGAGCAGAAACTCGAACTTCGCAATATCCTTTTTGATAACAAATAATTAAAAACAAAAGATTTTTCCATTCGGCATTCTGAAAATAGAAAACAAAAAGGAAAAAAAAATTATTATTATTATTATTAGTACGCGGCGTTTTTTTTTTTTAATTAGAACGCGATGATGATGAAAAAAGATAAACAAGCAAACAAACAAACAAACATTATGCGGGCGTAAAGAGAAGCTTTGGAAAAGGTGCGTCGTGCGCGTGTGTACATTCCATCTATTTCATTCGTTAGCGTAATTAATTAACCGAAAAATGAAATGATAAACGTTTGAAAATATCAATTATCGTGTCAGCAGACGGAATTTAATGCTCGAATGAAATCGATGCAACGAGACCGACTCTCAATTAAAAACCTTTCGTTCGATTAATCAATTATTTGAATTATTAATCGAACGAATATTAAAGTATGAATGAAAAAAAAAATGGATGAGAATTTTCCAATGTTTTTCAAAATCCTCCCGCCATTTTTATTTTCTTTATTACTACTATCATCATCATCATTATCATTATTATTTTATTCGATAATAAATGACAAATAATCGAATGAAAATAAAAGTTTAAATCATTAATTTTACTACGCACAAAACCAAAAAGAAAAAACTACAATTTTAAAGTGAGTGAGTGACAGGGATGGAAAAAGGGAAGAAAAAGAGAGGAAGAGAAAGAGAGAGAGAGAAAATAAAATAAAAAAAAATAAGGAAAATAAAAAATAAAAAAAGAAGATCAAAGTATAATTTTGATCGTCGTCTCTGATGCGTGCGCTCTCTTGTTTTCCATTTTCTGACAGTTTTCTTATACTTTCTCATTTTCAAAGTTGATTTTTAGTCAAAGGTAACGAATGAAAGGAAAAAGGAAAAAAAAAAAAGATGAAAATTTCATTTTTCGAGAAGGTAATTTCGATTTTTTCCTTTTTTTTTTCTTCTTCTTCTCCTAGTAAGTAAGAGAAATAAGAAAAAGCAAAAAAAAAAAAATCAAACGTGGAAGCAGAAAAAAAAAAAAATTTACAAAACTCCATCGTCGTTGAAATTTTCATTCCGAATTTCAAAATCCTTATTTTTTTTTTTTTTTTTAAGTTATATAAGTTTAAAAAAAAAAAAAAAAATTTTAGGCGCGTTTTAAATTTTTTTTTTTCTCTTTGAAATTATTATATCGAAGAAGAAGAAAAAAATTTTTTATATACCTCGCGTAAAAAACATTTTGTAAAAATTTTTTTTTCTCCCTCTCCCTCTCCCACTCTCTCTCTTTCTCTTTCTTTTTTTTTTTCTCTCCAAAATAAGGAAAAAAAAAAAAGAAAAAAGAAAACTTGAAAAATGTGAAAAATGAAAAGACGTGTAATAAGATATCGGTAAATTATAACGTAAAAAAGTTCTCAAATGACAAATTACTATTGAGAAGATAATAAAAACTGATGAGTGGAAAAAAAAAAAACGTGAGATTTTACAAGAGAGAGAGAGAGAGAGATTGGGGAGGAAGCGTGGGAGGGAGTGGGGGGACGGATTAGTTACGAGAGGTAAAACTGATTGATTGATTGTTTGATTGAAACTGTGATTGATTTTTCCAATCGGTATTTTTTACATCTTCAAATTTTCCACCAATTACTCCATTTTTTTTCTCTCTTTTCTTCCTTTTCTTCCTTTTCCTTTTCTTCCCTTCGTTTAATTTTATATTGTTATTAATTAACCTTCTTATTTAATATTAAAACGTCTTCTGCTTTATGTTGTTTTGATTTAAAAAAAAAAAAAAATAATGATAATGATAATAATAAATCAGGAAAAGTCAATTTTTTGAGAAGGAAAAAAAAAATTTTATTTTTTATTTTTTCTTTTCTCTCTGTCCTCTTCCTTCTCTCTCTCTTTTTTTAAATTTCTAGAAACTTTATCTACTCTCTCGTATTTTCTTTTCATTTTTTGTGATAATGATGATAATGATGAATCCGAAAAAAAAGCATGATCGATTCGACGTATCATTATAATAATTACGGAGGGAAAAAAAATGATTTCGTCGAATTATCGTGTAGGGAAATTTTTTTTTTCCCTCACGACGGTTGGCAATATTTTAACACTTATTCGAAAAGGGTAAAAGGAAAAATTTCCCTTTTTTCCTCCAATCGTCATCACCTTATCATTTCAAATAAATAAATAAAAATTTATCAACTTTTCACCTTTTTTTTAAGTTAAAAAATTAAAATGTTTTGAACGACAGCAAATTTTCTTTTTCCATCCCTCCGGATGTTTTGTTAACTTTTATATATATACGTCAGTCGTAAAATACGGAAGAGAAAAAAAAAAGGAGGGGGGGGGGAAACAAATTCGAAGACGAAGATGACAAAACGATTTTTTTTTTCTTTTGAAATCTATAAGAAAAGAATTAAATGGATTCGAGTAATAAAAAAAAAAAAAAAGAAAAAAGAAAATTAGGTGTTTTCCAATGTAACGAAAAAATGAAAAAAAAAAGAAGAGAGAGAGAGAGAGATAGAGAGATTAAAATTTGCTATCGTTTGGATTTTAGTTATATATATATTTCGTTCTCTGTTTTTTTTTATTCCCATGAGAATTTCAATCGAATCGTTACAGTAAAACAAAACAAAACAGAAAAAATTTATTTTATTTTATTTCATCAATTATTTTTATAAAAAAAAAAAATCAAAAATTTTCTCTCAGGCAAACACCCATTAAAAGACGAAAGAGAGAGAGAGAAAAATAAATAAACAAAAAAGGAAACGTTGCCAAATTTTTTTTTTCTCTTTCCACGTTTTTATACAATTTAATTGGTTTTTTTTTTATTTTATTTTTCGTCGTCGAAATTTTAAATTTATTTAAAAAAAAAATTCGAATTATTTTTATTTATTTATTTTTATTTTGTCGTTTATTTATTTATTTATTCATTTGTTTAAAAAAATAAAAATAAATAAATAAATTTTGGTATAAATAAATAAATAAATAAATAAATAAAATAAATTTCATTCATTCGATCGTTACACACACGAACGAACGAACGGTTGATAAACAAATAAAAAAAATAATAATGATGATGATTTTTAATTGTATCGATAAGACAATGATTGCTTATCAATCGATTGATAAGAATTAAATGTCGGATGGAAAATTCTAGATTATTTAAATTTAAATATAATATTTTTCATTATTAAAAATTGTAAAATAATCCGCCATTTTCGAATAAGACGATTCGGACGTGAATTACGAGGGAAGGAGGGGGGAG